AAAAAAACCCACTTTCTTGAATATTTTTAGAAGAAGTCAAATTAGATAGTGTCCTTTAATACAAGTAAAATGGAAATTAAATGAATAAAGAAATACCATTGTGCATTGTCGCGCGCCTTTTTCTGGTTCTCCTATACATACCCAGGCTTCCTCTTCGGATCGCTCACTAAAATATACACCCGACCCTTATCTAAATGCGATCGAGATAATGTGAGAGCGAAAATCTTATTTACAATGGTGCCTAATTACTGCACACTGGCAAACGAGTGAACATTTAAATGGTAATTGAAATTTTTCATTTTTTGCGACTTCTCGACTTTTCTTTATATTCTAAAAGGCAATGAGAATTTCCTCATCAATCGTTTCAAAAGAATCGCATTAACGTTATACTTTCAAAACCCACTGCTGATTAGTGTTCTTATTTCTAGATCTTTGTCTTGGATCGTTCCGGCTTGTGTCTATATATCAGTAAAAAGCTCTTTTTATTCTTGCCCCTAGCAAGATATTGTCATATRGGAAATTAATTAATTGGATGAAACTCACTGACTCTTTATTCCGAGGAAGTCTCCCTAGGCTTGTTTCTAAAATACGGCACCAGATGTTTTTTCAATAAAAGAAGCTGAAATAGAAACGCTAATATCGTACGTCTACTGTGAGGTTTGGTTTTATCTTCTAATGAATAAAACGCATGGGGAGTACTGATAGGCATTCAAATATTTTCAAAATGATTGGGGAAAAAATTGGTGGATCGACACTCCGTAAAATGTTGCAATTCAGTATTTAGTTGTAACTCAYGATCAGTATTTCTGCGAGGCATGATTATTTTGGTTGTTCAATAGCTTTAAGTAAAGCATGTTATTTGCTGAGAGATGAAAGGTTAACTCTACAATCCACACATCAGCCAGAAAATCTATTTAAATCTAGTTAAAAATCGCTTTAAAAGTAACTAAAAAAACATCAGATGACGTTGTCGTCTCAGARCTAAAATCCAAATGTACCTGTAAATCCCACCTTGACTTGTTCAACAGTTGTTGTATTGCCAGCTCTTCAGCTTGTAGCTTCTTTGTTAGTCTATTGTGGTGATTCGCATTGTATTTTGACGGCTGGTATGTACATGAGTCCGCGAGAGCTACTACGAAACGAACAGCTATAAGGGCCTTTCGAAACCTAAAAACACCTAGGTTACTCTCTTCGCACTTTCCTCGATCCATACCACAAAGATATCCCAAAATGTCCGGAATTCTTCTCCTTTTATTTAGGATATGGCGCTCCAATATGGACTTGGTTAAACGTAGCTRGGAAAATTCGCGCACGCCCAACAGGCAGGGCTGGTGTCTTATTCCAAAAGTTTCGTGACAAATTGTCAATTAATTGACAATTATTGAAAACTCCTGTAATCCTCACTTCTGGGCTAGAAAAACTGTCCCCAAGCCAAAAAATCTAAATTCTAGTTTATCAGTTGATGTCTGGCTGTCGAGAATTCTTCTGATAATACACCTGAAGAGATGAGCGCCAGGACTACTTATGGTYGAGGATACGCCGAGCTGAGTATTTTTTGTTTTGCATTTCTAGATGCTATGCTATGGATACCTTAAGATGATCTATCTCCTTTTGAATAAATCTCGTGTTAATTAATTGATCTCTCAAGTAGTTCATCTCAGATGTTTATATTGACATGATTGATTGATTGTCTCGAGATATATATTGAAAAATTGATTGTTGATGGCATCAAAACACAGATATTATTGTACCATAGTTCTCTTGATAGTTAGCTGTACACGTACTGGMAGACTGGACAATTATAAATGAACTACTTTTTGTTAACACTAATATAATATGGCTTTACAGCATCCGTGTTGTCAATGTGTCGTATTGAGTGGCCAGGATGGACCAGTTTCCTTTAAATCCAAACTGCTGGCGAATTAGACAAGAAAAATGCGAAAACAAACGACGTAATCTTTTTGATCTCGCTCTAGCTTTTTCCTGGGAGCCGCGGCGATCCATTCAGAAAAATAGTCACAAAGTCACCGGCGTCAAAAGCGTGTTAAAAAATATAACTCGTTTTCTCACTGAGTTRAAAACTGATTTTTTAAGAAAAATCAGTTTGATATTCGATCGTCTTGCATGAAAACTACTAGCTCTTTTTCTTCAGTTTACTCTCCGGTTTGCWAGCCTATTTTGTTAGCTCGAGACTTTAGATTTTGTATTTCCAGTTTTATTATAAGTAAACCGACCAGTAAGACMAGTTTCTCACCACCCAGCTCATTAACTAACTCATTAACTTTGAAATAAACAGGAACCTCATCATCAAGATGTTGCAGTAGTAAATACATATTCATACTCAACTGMGTCCAGTCTTTTATTCACAAATTCGGCTAGTTTTCATCAATCATACACTGGTTGCTTTTTTCCCTTAATTACTTCCAAGTATACTAGTCTATTTTACCATCTTAGTTTTGGGTCTATGAATTAGGCTGAACCAAGTATACCGAATTGCCATAAACGAATACCAGTTTATCATGAAGCCGTGATTCTATTTGCTCTCAGTTTTGTTTTCTTTTGAATGGTCTTCTCGTTTTCCTRAATAGCTAGTTTATTGATGTATCTCGGGTTTTTGTAATCTGCAATTAAGTTATATTATATTATAAGGTAAGTGGACTAAGAGCAGCAAAGTGGGCGAAAACGTGATCGTCAAGATGTCTCAAGGCCTTTTTTTAATATGGCTGCAAATAAAATTGGAAAATTTCGTATTGTCACGTTGCGCATGCTGTGTTTTCAAATATTCATTGGTTTTCTAAAATAACATAAAAAATGCATGGTGCACACTTCTTTTTATTTTTTAGATTATACGCTTTTTATGGGATGACTTATAATTAGATCCGTGAAAACGGTCCTTATCTATATATGCAGTATTTACATACATATGCGTWCCTTGAGGAACCCTACACTACCATCTATCGCTGGATTTATCACCCCATCTGTCTTTCATTTCCTAGGAAATGCTTTAGCCTGATTCTAGCCTGCGCATACGGCCCTATTGGTATAATGCAGGCTATTTAATTTGTCTTATTATATCTAGTATTATTCAAAAAGTAAAATATTTCCAAGGTCTTATTTCCAATAAAAATTCTTTTTTGATGGTACATTTTCGTCGTCACAGCCAAAAAGAAAAATGGAAGAGGAGGAGGAGCGTGAGAAGGAGGATAAAAACGCGCTGATAGCATGTGGAGCTGATTTTTACATATTCTCAAACATATTAGAAATTTCTGCTTTGTATCTCAGTTTTTATTGATTTAGATGATGGATAAACAACCCCTCCCACCTTAGTGCTAAAAGTCATGACTTCAAAAAAATTTGCGCGTTCTCGACTTCAACGAGGCTAGGTTCTTTTTACGCATGCGTCAAAAGCAATTATACAAATTAAAGTAACGTTTACCGATCACGTTTACCGATCACGTTTACCAAGTATATAAACGCCGATCGACAAGATTCAGCAAAGGGTCAATAAAAAGCGTGAGTTTAGGCTTTAGGTTACTGAACAGTCTACGGAACTTTGCGTATTAGTAAATAAAAAAGTAAAATTTAAAAAATGCTTTTTCATTGGACTCTAATATAATCATATGTTTTATAACTTACCATTATTCCATAACGAATACGTGGGACTCCAATTTTTTTTCTGTGTAAAAGATTTCGAAATTGTCTCACGGCCAGTCTAACTTCCTTGCGTTCGAGCACAGAATATTTTCTTTTCTTCGTAACCCGAGTCGCGTCAAATCGAGGAGGAAGCGGACTACTATGTGGACTGACGTCGTAGTCTGAGTTGCACTCACCGAACAGATTTAACGGGGATACTGGAAATTTTCTAGAAGACCTCTCGTGTTGAATGGTCTTCAATAGCCCACAGGTGCTGGCGCCCACTGGAGAGTTATTCATGTTGTAGGACTTTATCTAGTTTACTATTCGATGTTTTGTCATTGATTTGAGTGGAGAGTTTTAAAAGAACGGTACTGATCTAAAAAGAATAATAATCATCATAAACCASTGATATTTATATTTCAAACATTTTCCTGAATTTCACTTAAGAATGAAATCGGGACGATTTCTAAACGTAGTAATTATTTTGCGTTCGTTTTTCCGCTAATAAAATTATTATTTACAAGTCCAATTAACCTCATGAAGAAAATAAAACAATATGTAAAATTAAATTTTTATGCCCGCCCGAGGCTATAGCAGCGCACAGATTATACTATTCTTAGCGATCCAGCACGGAGATCAGAAGGATATATGATACAACTTTATCGGCAAGAGAATATRTGAATAGGTGAATGCTATACATACTAAATTATAATTTTCCGTACAAAGCATACATATGTTTGTAGGTCATCAATCTAGTTATGCTTATGATAAAAACTTACTTTGTTCAAATCTTCTATTCAACTTAGTTGGGCCTGAGGGTGAACGCACCGCAAAAACTACGCTAACGATTCCAGTGCAGAAGTATAATAACGCTTTGAGAAAACCACAAAAAACGCTTTTAAAAAACCCATAATCCAATCATTTTAACTGAACGTCTTTGATCAGTCAAGGTCCCTAGATACGATGATGTTTGTTTTGAAAACTATAGGACTTGAATCWTATATAAATGAATAATTGATAAAACGCACATCCAAAACTATTCTTTCGCCAAGTTTCATTTACAGTGTAAATAGGCCAAGCTGGATATTTGATTGCGAGGCTTTAGTAATATGGTACAGTTCATGTATGGTACAAAAATCTGGATCACCAAAAACATTTGTTGAGCCGAATAAAATAATTTACCATCATATACGACGTTCCTACTACCTTTGRCAATAATTAAGAAAGTTTTGGTAGACTATATATGCTGGTCAGCTTACTAGTTAACACTCTACAGCACTATACCTACTATGGTCAGTGGTTTTGGTAACTGTGGATTGACGGACCGCGGAACAGCGGAGCCTGCAGCACCTCAGGAACAACCTTTCAGAAAAAAAAATTTTTTTAATGCATTCATCTTTATGCAAAAAGAAATTTATATCTATTTGATATCATTTTTTATACAATATTGGCTTCAATGCACTCTTATTTTTTAAGTCACTTTAGCGTCTTAATTTAAGGGTTATCAACTTCTGAAGAAAAATTGTCCACGCATTCTCGTACTTAGACGAATTTTAATACACTCAGTTAAAGTTAAGCAAACAATATTGTAAAAAAAGTTAAGCAGGTATTGGTTTCAGGTCGCCMATCCTGGTACCATCTTCACTYAACCGGACTTGACTCARTGTCATGGAAGCCCAMGTTTTTTCCGCTGGACCACGGTTCMMGKTRAATCAGCATAACAATAGTCGTGAAAACAATGCACYAGATAGACTAGACTTTKTAACATCAATTTTTCAACCGATTCCGTGCGTGGCAGAGTGCAAGGGATTAGCTGTAGATATGGTCTGGGGGCCGGCTGGTCTCTCCCCTGATGCTTCGGCTAGAACATTTTATTGCGTAATTCGTACACCCAAGGGCAGAAGGCCTTAATTGCCGTCAGGTCCGAAGTCCATACGACGCCTCAGCTCTGCGGCACAGTGGAATCGATTTTTTTTCAATTTCTGTCGTTGAGTTTGAATCCCAACGTATCCAGATACGGATTTTTTATTGTATGACAAGATAATTTCACGCGCTATATATGATTGGTCAATTTTCGGTCTATAACTAACGGTACGAACCGCGTTAGTCACAACTTTTGCGTAAATAATTGATAACATTTTCGATTAAGACTGGGTTAAACTACGAACTGAATGACGCGCTTGAATACAGCTCACAAATGAAATTAACTGAGAGAATTTTACAATTTTAATATCTCGAAAACGTTTTGCGAAGAGGAAACTGATGCGGACTACGTTGTTTTGGTCAAGCTTGAACTTGACTTGGAAATTTAAAAAAAATTCTAAAATCTTAACTTTTGGGCAAATGAAGTGAAAAAATATCCTAGCTTGGAATAGGGTTTTTAAAACAAGCCTAAAATAATTTAGATGTATAGTTTAAAGAGGTTAATCGCTAATTATTAAGTAAATATCATTGAGTATATTGAGTACCGTAACCTAGGAAAAAGAGATGTTAAATTTTTATTTGCTAGTACTGGGTTTCCTGTGTTGGCATACCGATCCCATCGCTCCTTGCTTACATTTTGAAGTATATACCCACTTTTGATCCACCATCTTGGAATTTGGAGAGGATGGTGAGTTGCTCGGCAATTTTAGAGTTTTTTACTTCATTATCTACTGTATATCATCAAAGATTTTTCAGTAATGTTGATTAAGGATTATTCTTGCAGATATAAGGATTTTTTAAATGTTATTTCGCCAAAAGAGGTAACTTTTTTTGTATGTTTTTCTGATTATGCAGATTCGATTTATCTTGATTCAAAATCGTGCGGGGAAAACAAGACTAGCAAAATGGTACATGAACTTTGATGATGACGAGAAGCAAAAGTTAATCGAAGAAGTACATGCTTTGGTTACCGTTCGAGACGCAAAGCACACAAATTTCGTAGAGGTAAGGTTTTCTCGGACATTTATTATCTTAGAAGTTGGGCACACTCAGACGTACCCGGCCCATCTATTATGTTACTAGTAATATGCTTTATAGAGGAGGGGGCTATAGGGGACTGTTCGTTTATTATGTCACGGGGGGGGGGGGTAAATTTTATGAAAATTGTTTTTTTGGGGGGTAGAATTTGATTTTGAAAGCTTATTTAAGGGGGGCCATTTTTTAAAATGAGGGGAAAATGTAAATTAGAAAGAACAGCAACAAAGCACAACTGAAAAGAAAAGAAATTGAAAACAAAATCGTAAAATCAATATAACCAAATATATATTCTATGGGTTTGTTTGATCTGGGACTCCTAAGTTGGATTTGGTGCTCCTGTGTTGGATTTGGGATTCCTGTGGTGTCCAAATCCAATATGGCGGCCAATGTGAATAGTGATGGAATTCAGAATTTCCTCAAACAAGCAGATCTTGAACGTCGAGAGACTGTAAAGAACTTCTAATAAACTTTCCCTTTAGAGATTTGTTTCTGACCTCTGACCGTTTTTCTTGCCAATTAAGTGATGTTAGCTTCTTTCGTGACTTTTGAATTCGCCATCTGAAAAAGGGTAACCTGGCGATTCTTCTTTAGGAAGGAGACTGGTACTCAAGTTTTGCTGTGGRGAGGGGTGGGGGTAAGAATTATGTCTGAGGAGGGAGGGAGGGGGGTAAATTTATAAAGACTTTATTTTTGAGGGGGGTAACTTTTTAAAAACAATGCTTTCTATGAAAACCACCAGACCCCCCTGTGACATAATAAACGGACAGTCCCTAGGAAAGTATATATATTTTGATAGCAAAAGCATTAAAACCTATCTTAAACCCTTGATTAGAACAAGTAAATTTCCATATCTCAAATGATCACAAAGTATGACTATAGACAGTTGTACCGGGCATCAGAGAATGGATAAGATTTATTACTTACATTATAACTTTAAAGGATTGGTCATTGATTAGTGTGCATCCATCAAGTTTTGGGTGCATGCGGGAGGCTGCTAAGCATGAAGGAARCATAAGAGTCATGCTTTTATAACATAGCAAAAGCGTAAAAAATCTTCGTTAATCGAGAAAAATTAAAATATTTTTTCTGACAAAATCTGCATTGCAAAGTGCATGCTACTCAATTATTGACGTCAGCATGCACCATCCATTTTTGGACGTATGCTTGGCACACTAATTAGCTAATCAGAGCGCACRTTATATTGTGGCTATGTTAAAAAWTTTTTATACATCTTACTATAAATAGTGAGCTTGCAATGATGGAGATGTGAATAATTGTTTCAAGGTGTTAAAAAAAGGTCTCTATCATTGCAAGCTCCACCTTCATCTCCCTTCGATGCAAAGGCATGGCTACCTTACTACTGCAAGGGACTATTGGTTGGCTTGGTGTTTTGGTACATCTGTTTCAAATACTTTAGGTGTAATCATCAACCATTTTTTCCTCTTCTTAGTTCCGTAACTTCAAAATAGTCTACAGACGTTATGCAGGGTTGTACTTCTGCTTCTGTGTTGATGTCAGTGATAACAACTTATATTATTTGGAGGCCATTCACAATTTTGTAGAGGTAATGAAAACTTTATCTTATTACTGAACTCTGATGAATCAACAAAATTCTTAAATTAACAACTTTTTCAATAAGAAGGAACCTCTTTCTCTGGTTCAATCCTTGTTGACCCAAAAGTGGTTTTAAGTGTTAAAATATCTTTCTTTTTAAATATAGTTTTTTGGTAAATAAATCCATGATTTTTGCAATAAGGCGATCTGTGARGGGTAATCTTAGTTATAGTAGTCTGGTTGAAAATCAAGCTCATTGGTAACTAAGTCTTGCATTGGTTCCTTGCATTGACCTGTAGTGAAAAAACGTATGTGGTGGATGCAAATGGCAAAATATACATACATGTACATGTATATATATATGTTTGTTATGTTTCTTAATAGGTGCATATATATTTATTTTATTTTTTAGGTTTTAAATGAGTTTTTCCACAATGTTTGTGAACTGGATTTAGTCTTTAACTTTTATAAGGTAAATCAATACACATATATTTACTTTCATTTTAAGACTTTTGGATTTGCTACATAGTTATAATTAGGTTGAAAGGTGTAATTTTTTCTGCAATACCAGATATTATTCCACCTTAGTATTCTACGATGTAACAGTTCATTTTTGCTAAAATCTAATACCATCTTATTGGTTTTTTTTACATTCTAGGTGTACTCAGTGGTCGATGAGATGTTCTTAGCTGGAGAAATCCGAGAAACAAGTCAGAGTAAAGTACTTAAACAACTAAACATGCTTCAGCAGTTGGAGTAGAATGGTAACTTAGAATATTAGCAACATGAACCTAGCTACAAGCCAATAGCTTTCTTTCCTTTCATCTTTATCTCACCAATATATGTATATGCAGGATAGGAGACTACAGTATATATATATATATATCCAGTAGATAGATAATATAGAAATGATGAGTTGAATAGACAGATTGTTTATAGATTGAGATTCTTTCAAGTCAGCATGTTTTTGTGCTTCTGTAGCCTCTCACTCCTAGACATGATTTTTTTGGCTTCTGATGACCAAAACATCATTGTACCTTAATTTTAATATTGTGAATTGATGCCATTGTTTTGAATATAGAGGACAGTAATCCCTTAATCCTGATTGATGAATAATGAAGGGCTTTCATAGCTTTGGACCAATTTACGAGCCCTTTAGCCTGCAAAAAGAAGCCATCTTATGTGGGTGGATAATTTGGAGAGAGAAACAGTGCCAGAGAGACTCTTCACAGGCTACTAGCACTCGGACAAAATAGGCTAGGCATGTTCTTGATTGGAAATCAATTTTTATTTTATCATTGATGTTCTTGTATCCAAAAACTTGTTCAAAGCCATCCATTTTCTTCAATGTTATTAAAACACCATTTCAATAAACAATAAGGAACTCACAACTGCATGAAAAACATATTTTCTTTAAAGCCACCCAAAATCTTTTCTTATCCCACAGGCTAAATAGACCCCTTGCATGTGACGTCAAAGCAGCTTGATCTGGGGGACAAAACAAAAGAATTCCAGTCTCCTGAGAATTGGAACCTATTGTTTTGTCCCCCAGATTGAGCTACATTCCAAAGTGCTGCAAGGGGTCTATAATAGATTATTCAATATTGCTTTCAGACTGGGCTACCACCCAACCTTTTCATTGTAAGAATAACCTTAATATTAATTAATTATCGTTTCATTAAAACCAATAAATGTAATATAATAGGTTGTAGTGTTTATCTGATCTTTGAGAATAAAAAAACACTGATGGTATAATTTTCATTTATATTGTAATTGATGGTATTTTTTATTTATTTAAACTAACAAAAGTCCAAGGTTCAATCACTCTCCCCTTTATTTTTTATTTAAAATAATTCATAAAAAGCTAATACAAAATTATAAATTTATCATACGCTAGTGAATCTGTCTGTTTTCCATTAATGTATACAAAGCACACTAAAACTCCCTAAGGGAATTTTATTTGAAAGAGAGGGTTTAAGGAATTTTCATTTGTTTTTTAATGGTTTGGGTTTCTTTGATGGCACAAAACTAAGTGCTTAAAGTTAAAGTCGTTCCTTTAAAGAAGATAAAATCAAGATTGTTCCATTAAGTTATCTTTGCTGATCAGACTTTTTGATAGGCTGCTATTTAGTAACTAATGAAGGAACAATGTTGATCTTTATCTTTTAGCCACTGTTTTCAAACAATTTATTTGTATTGGCTTTCACATATTAAAAAAAATTAAAAACCTATTCAAAATCTGTGGTCAAACATTCTCAAAATTTTCATTTTTTTCCAGGTTATCTGGACACCCCTATTTTAAAATCACTCTAATTTATTCCTTGTAATAACACTAAATCATCTTCACTGTCATGGTGATACAGTTRCAATCTAATATCATCTAATAACTTTAAGTATACACTGTACATAATGTATTCCATCATTATTGAGGCTATACTGTAGTTTTTTTCAATAAGAGTAATTTTTGTTCATGAACAAAGCTCAAGATTTCTTTTTTCTGGAACTTGAAAACTTATATTAGATATTCTTACTACACTGCTCTTTTTGCAAAAGAAGACACATGTCATTTAGAAAAGTCTGGTTCACGTTTTTTTTACAGTGTCTAATGTTCAATAGTAAGCATAGAATCATAGGCTTGCTATGGCAACAAGTTTTAATGGTTGTCAGTCAAGGCATTTTTATGATATTCCATAGGCATGTGCCCTTAAAAAGATTGCATTTCCTGACAAATTCTTGGAATTGACTTGATTTGCTCCCAGCAAAAGCTACTTTGTCACTATAATTACCAGGCATACATGTATGTTATTGAAAAAGAGTATTCCTGGAAAAACACTATTAAAAGATTCTGCACATATCTAAATTCAAAAATAATACTATTTTAAAAAACATCCTTAGTTTATAAAATGACTACATCTATGTTCTATGTTCATAATTACACAACTTCAATAGCTCCAGGCATCTGGCCAATTAAGTCAAAATAAAAAATTCAGGTTTGTGAAAATTTTATGACAGTAAACGAAAAAAAAGAAAAGGAAAAAAAAAAAGAAATCAAACATCTGTGTTTCTTCTAGTCATCTAGCTGTGTTATTCTGAAAATAGGTATGACCTATATAAATTGAAATATATCTCAAATTTTACCTCTTTGTTAATTATATACAATGTATTCTGATGGTAGAGGCATCTAGATTTTTTGTGATAACAGTGTTTTCATTTCTCTGTGGCCTGTCATTGGTGGTGGAGTGGCAATATGGAGTTTACATGGTGTCATTTTATCTCCTGTACTAGAATACTTTGGATTTTGATACTTGTTGGTGCTAGAAATACTGTTCTTTACTGCAACAGATACTAAATCTGGATTCATGTTTTCTCGATCTGGGGTTTTGTTGGCTGCACAGGAACTAGATTCCTGCAACATGAACATATCTTAAAGTGAATATGAAGCGAAATAATCTTCAACTCGATTAAAGTGTATATGACACGAAAACATTTCATCGTTTAAAATGTATAGTTTGTTAGTAGTAATAAATATATCGTAATGAAATTTGTTTCAAAAGCTTATTTCTTGAGATATGTGAGAAAATTAATATCAATTTGTGATGTCATTTTGTTGACACGTACTCTAGATTCAGTAGTAATGCACAAAATATAAATTGTAATTCGTATAAAATAACAACAAAAGGCATATTTTATTCAATTTCATTTGATAGCTTACGTAGTACTCTTCMAATGTTGGGAAACTGAAAAGTGCACTACCTGAAATTAAGATTCCATATTCAAACATATTTCGTGTATTTGCAACTACATCTGGAGACTTGTAAACAAAATGACGTCACAACTTGTGCTAAATTTTCTTGAATTTCTAGAGAAATACGTTTTTGAAACAAATTTAACTGTGTTATTCTTATTAATGACAATAAAATACACATTTTTAACATTAAATTTTTTTCGTGTCATATGCACTTTAAGTTATAAGTTTAAATGTGTAAAAACTTGTTCATCTACAAAATTTTGGGTTCAAATGTGGAGTCAATTAGAGTTGCTTCCAATAATGTAGCAGGAATATCTACCTGTTTGTACACATTATTTCCCTTGCGCTGTCTTGGTGAAGAGTTGAAGCAGGATGTTGCACCAGATGAATGCCTACATTARAATAAGAACCCACATCAGTAATGGGTAGAGCAGTCATGGCCATGCCATTGACATAATGGCACCATATCAAAGCTAATTGGGTGGCCCTCCTATGCTGTATCTTGTTCAACAAGTGTCATCAATAGACCCTTTTAGCTTGGGTAAAAAGTTTCCCATTTCAGACCATGGGTGCTACCATTTACCCACAAAAACTGGAAATTCCGGTTGGAAAACAAATGGTATGCATCAATTGCTTCAATTGGAAAGTCCTGGAAAACTCAATCTTGTGATTGAGGTAGTCTACTTTTCCTGCTCATTTTGGTTCTTTTGGTAGATGTCAAAGTTTCTCGCTCTTTTCTTACCATTAGCGAATAAATTTGTTTTAATGCACCCCATGTGATGTTCCAAAGAGGATCAATTCTTTTTTCAATGCTTGCCCAATAGAAGACAAAGGAATAACATAAGGATTTAGCTAGGTTTGAATCTACAAGGAATAACATGGTTGGAAATGTGGAAACATTACAACCAAGCTAAAAAGGTATATTCCATGCTGTGATGATGCTGCCTGCCATGACATTTTGTAGTCTATTTTGTGTGCAACACGTATCCACTGTACCTTCTTGTGACTTTTCTTCTCTGCATTTCACCTCCTTTCCCCCCATGCCTGCTGTACACAGCATCTTGTCTGCCTGAGACTGGTGACTCTAAACCTTCATCTCCTAATAATTGGGTGGTTGAACCAGAGCGAGGTGATCGTATACGTACGCGTGCATGCCTTGTGTATTCATGTGCATTTTTATCAGGTGATGGAACGTATGTCATGGCATCTATGACTTTAACATGTTCTGTTTCCTCAGACAGTAATACCTTAGCATGCTCACTCTTAACTGAAATATTAAATTACATAGTATGTTACTCAAGTTCTTGATAGATACACATGCAAGTAAAAATTATTACCAGTTATTACATAGTATTATTAAGTGCCATGCTTCTTTGGTAAGGAATATTGCATGTCAGGATGCATCATCTGTTGTGAAAGCTGTGCAATCTTTCTACTCTTATCTGACTTTACTTCTGAAAATTTTCTAATGACTCGTATCATCTAAGACTCGGGACTTAACCACAAGGGGTGGATTGACAATGGCTTTTGATCATTAGGACCCATAGAATAGAACTTGCATGTGATGACAAAGTGACGTCAAAGCACTTCAATTTGGAGGACAAAACAAAAGAATTTCAATCTCATGAGAAATGGAAACCTATTGTTAGGTCCTCCAAATTGAGCTGCATTCTGATGTGCTGCAAGGGGTCTATAAGTGTCAGCAGGAACCCATTTTGACAAGCCAAATGGGTTGCAGATTGAAAAAGATCCTAATCCTGCCATCATGCCAATAGAGTTATGCTAAAGGGGGTACTGAATTTTTAATTCAAACTACAATAGAGAAAAACAATTCTTTGTAAACCTACCCATGTCAGATAGAGGTCTCACAGGAGTCAAGGGTTTGATTGTGGTAGTGAACATTTGTGTGGATCTTGAGATAATCCTTGGATGTCCAATCCCAGCATCACCTTCATGCTGTTGTGCTATTCTTTGTCTTCTGGAACAAAATACAAAGCAAGTAACATACATAAAAAGATTTGGGATTCTTTTGTTGTTTCAGCAGCAGCCCAAATAAGGTTTGGCACCATACATAATTTTTCATCAATGAATCACTGTACATTAATATAAATTAACAATTATTCACCGAAGGCCAAGTGAATATCCAGAGAATATTTACCAAGATGCGAGCCTTTGAGAAGTGAGCTAAATATTCCCCGATATTCACTGAGCCTGAGGCCAATAATTGTTTTAGTATCTTTAGCACTTGCAAGTGAAATTAATAAATAACTGAGAGAGAGTTTATTTTTGTTTTCAAATTTTGTTTATCTCTCCAAGCAACACACATTGACAAAATTGAGAGTGCTTGTGCACATACAGAGAACAAGAGACCAATGAGAGTGCCAGATTTATTATATTGAATGGTGCTAAAATATTATTGATAATTATTAGTTTAAAAACTAAAAGGGGAAACATACCTTTTAATTGCAGGTGACAAAACTGAATTGTTATACTCCACCCTGCGCTTGTTAGAACTTATTCTCATACTCATTCTTTCAGTTGCTTGACAAGCAAAAGTATCTAAAGCTGTATCATCTGAGAATTAGAAACAAAATATTTTAATCATTTCATAATAGAGTACTCAAGTGTGACGTCATGAAAAAATAAATTTTGACTTTAATTATTTTCGATCTCTAATTTCTATAGACAATCAAAAAAGATGTTTATACACCAAATTTGACTTTGTTCCAAACGTTTGGAACTTAGCCGAAAATACAGTGATTTGTATGGAGTAATTATATATTCAAATGGTCATATCTCAGCTGATATTTGTGCGATTCTCGTCAAATTTGGTGTGYAAATGTCTTTTCTGATTGTCTATCGAATTTGCTAACCAAAAATATGATTAAGTGAAAATTAATTTTYGTGATATTCTGTTTTCAAGATATTGACAATAAACAATCATCGGATGGGGTTTTAATTATCGGAAATTATCAATGTCAAGGCAAGTGTTAATTATTGGCCGAAGCCGTCATAAAAATAGTGAGTACAATGTATAATAATATCAGATAGATTCTGTTATTACAGTTGACCCCACAATGAGAAAACCTTTTGTTTAAAGGATAGCTAGGCTATCACAAGTGGATACAATGCATAATGATTCATTTGCATCTCATCTGCATGCTACTGTTATAACAGCTATTAATTAAACTCTTAAATATTTTCAGTCTAGAGATAGTAGCCACAAACCTTTGCTGATGACAATATCATTAGCTTCAGCATATTTGCATTTGTTCCTCATTAAGTCAGCCTTAACACTCTTGGTTCTTCTGTGACGGTTCACTGGGGTGTGCTTGGATGAACTTGAGTTGGTCTTGAGTTTATTTAGACTATGTCCAATAAACCCTTTGAAGAAATAAAGATTAAATGAAGGTTAAATGCATATGACAAGTTGTTTATCATTTTTCAATCAAACATACTAATGTAGGTCTACAGAGCTTCAATCTATGGCATGCATGCACAGAGCTTAAAATCTTCCACATGCTGTTAACTACTTAGCTTTGTGTGGCAAGGACGTAAACAATTCAATTCAATTTGTATTTGCAGCTTTGAGCAGAGCCCTGTGAGCATGCAACATTGTGGGTATATGCTAATTAATAATTTACCAGTGATTGATCCAGTTCTCGTTCTAGCCCTTGGAGCTCTCTTGCTCTTTGTTCTCTGAAGATTTTCTCCCTCCAGTTCATCACCAGAAGATGTCATAGCATAGTCTCCATCCTCTCCAATCATTTTTGCTTTCTCATAAACATCATTTGGAACCTTGCCAATCTGATCAGCATTTTTTAATAAAGTCTCAATAATCTCAGTCTGATCTTTAAGTTTCTCTGAAGAACTGCTGTTATCCTTTTTAGAATTATTATGCATGAGATTGGGAGTCAGGACAATTGCAAGGTTAGACAAACCCATTTTACTCCTTTCTGAGTGAGTCGCAACCTCTGCAGCAAATTTCATGATGTACTGCAGGGTTTGCAGATGAGTTAAGGGCAGCATTAAGCAGATATACAAAATCATTCTGCTGCGTTCTCCTTCATTTTCCTGCCTCAAGGATTTAATGAAGCTGTCATGGTAAAGATTGGTGAGTAATGGCTCTTGGAGATGTCGAAAGAATTGTTTTATCAAACTTGCCACATCGTGGGGATGTGCTGCAGAGATATCTTCTCCTTCTTCAATTTGTTGCTGTGAATAAAGAAAAAATTAGTAATGCATATTGATTTTATTTATTGAAAAGACATACCGAATTCAAACACATTCAAGATCACACCAAAGGAACAATAATTTACTTTGAGAATTTTCTGTCTTTGAACAGAGCCAGATTTTCTAAATAATCCTTCTGTACCAAGATATTTGCGAAGAAAACTACAGGAATCAACCAAAAATCTAAAAAAGAAGACATTGATATGTTATAATAATTGTCCATATAAGCTTATTTTTAGTTTTGAATTTTTTCACTCACTTAGGAACACCACAATAAAAATCTTCTCCGACGTTTCTTGTTGGAACTTGGTCCAGARGAATACCAAAGACTCCTTCTCCGTTGCATTCAATCGCCTGTAAGAAAAATAATATAAATATAAAAAAATTAGTGTTTGAATATTTGACAAAAACCATAAACGTGCCCACCAAATGATCAACTGGACACGAGACAAAGAAACAAAACGTGTTCAACATCTCTTGGTCTTTTCTGATTCATGAAATGTTTTGATGGTTTTACTTTTTGCAACATAAAAGTAAAGAACAGAATCCTTATGAATCGTAAAAATAATAATCTAACAAAGATATTGATTTCAAATTAAACAAGGTCATTGAGTTATATTTTTCCAGGCTTGTTCTTACCAGCTTAGAGTTCGACTTATTCTTGGGAACTTTTAGTCCCATACTTTTGAGCTCTCGACGAACAACAAACCTGACATTGTCCTTAAAATCTATAGAGGATAAATCTCTCATCTTGTAAGATCATAAGAACAAAATCAAGAAGATAATAAAAGCGTTTGATGTTCGATCTTTTTGATTCGAATGTTACCGCTCGACCGTTGGTAAACATACTGATTGGTTCATTTCGTCCAGTACACGACAGGATATCGATCGTGCCGATGATGTTTTGACTACGCCCTTGATACACATTTCCACTATATTCTTACATTAAATTCCTTTACTTTAATAATTTAGTAGATCGAATATCTTTTAAAATAATACTTACATTGTTTAATTGGATTTTTTTTTTGTTGATTTTTTTTYCCCCCGGCGCCTGCTGGTTTTGGACGTTAAACGGAGATTTCCCGAATGACGTCGAGTTTAATCCGAAGCTAAATCCGACGATTTCGCGATCATTGGAGCGAGCCCACGACCGGATGTAAGTGAATGATGCCCTTACACTCGCGGTGCGGCTTTGGCATTTCCTGCTGTGTAGATGACGATGTTCTACTTTCTGAATACTATATAAATGTTCCTTAAAAAAACATAACCTTAGGTTAGCAAGGTAACTAATGAAAATCACCTCAGGTTGGTTGCAGTAAATTTTAAAAATATTAACATAAACTGCTGTGATTTGCTAGTCATTAAGGTCAATACTTTATACTCACAGTAATGTAGTTTTGAGAACAAATTGACAAATTGACTTTAATTTGTGAAACCAGAAGGGGCTCTTTTTCTCTTAATGATTGCTATTATTTTTTTCTTATTTAGAGCAGTTTTATATCAAACCGTGATTTCGAATATTTTTTTCGCTTACTATTCGCGGAATCGAATCTTATTTTGAAGCTGTCACCTCGTCATAGTTGTTTGACACCGACAGTGATCCCGATCAAGTATTACTGTAAAGCTTATCTTTAGAATCATTTTTAAGAGGTATCTTATTTTTTTCTTCTTTATATATCACTGCAGCATTCATATTTTCTAATATAAAACCTCTTCTTCTACGGCAGGAGAGGTCAATGAAAGTGAATCTGTGAACGACAGAGTTAGCATGTCCAGTACTGTGGATTACATCGAGAGCGAAGACGACGAGTCAAACGGACGACGCGCTTCTTTACGCGCTGCGACCCTTGATAAACTGGTCCAGTTTTGTATAGATGAATTCGGTATGTTTTTTAACAAAATAACTATCTTATTGATCGTTACTGTGACAGTGATCTTTGTAATCATTGGAATTTGATTTGGAAGGGTAAAGACATTTGTAAAGTACACGTTTATGATTGTCATTTAATACCATCCCCTCAGAAACAAACTCACCTCTCAAAATCTATCGTGCTAATTTGTGGTTTAAAAAAGAACCCAAGCACTTTCTATCAGCACTATGGCTTTAATATCTACAGAATACTACTATTTCTTAAAACACGTCTAATGTAATTTTCTATAAAGAAAAAAACTTTTTGTCACGTCGAGTTGACTTTTGTCTGTTGTTTACATTTGCTGAGCGATATCTGGTTGATATTATTATCTCTTTGCATGTCAGTGATTTGATTGTCTCTCTCTTTATTTTTATTACCAGATGAAAATGGACCCATTAATAAGGAACCTGTTTTATCGACTGCCTTGTTTACTGCACACCAATGGTTCTTAGAATCGGATAAATTGTTGGAGGCGTTTATGGACGCGTATCCTTATTGTACAAATTTTCAAGTTCATCTTAATTTTTTGGCTTGATGACCGAAAATCGTAAATCCTTTCAGTCGTCACATCTCGCCGTGAAAGAGATTTTAATCTTCTTTTATAAAAGTCTTCTATCGCGTCGGATTATCTAGTTACTAGACAAAAGAACATCCACACTAACATGTACGTGATGTTTGGTTTGGAAGCTTTCTTTCTTGTACAGCGTTTTTCTTTTCCACTCGAGAGTAAATTTCGTAATTAAGTCATGCTTTTAAGTCAAGCTTAAATTTTTTTAAAAGACGCAAAAATGAAGTGGTACATATAAATACGATAATTCTTTTTATATAATTAGTTAAATCATTTTTTTTGATTGATTTCCAGGTAGATAAAAGACTAAAATTTCTCCTATATTTTTTCTGTTCCTAACTTTGGAATCAATTTAGAAAAACATATTTTGAACTGAACTCTCATTTTATCCCACTTTAATTTTTTTATTGTCAGTTGTGAAAATAATTATTTCAGTTTTCATCCTACTTTTTCCAGTGTGTTCTAAAGCTTGGGAAACTTCCATTTGGCAAACGCAATAAATTTCCTGTACAACAGACATCAGACACTCAAAATCTCATAACTACACATTACTTTTTGCATCATTTTGTTTGATGGAAGTGACATTTAAAAAGTGTTTTACAGTACTGTCAAATTTCTCCTTCTTTCTGAGTTTATATTTGCATATATTTTGTTTAAAAAAAACAATTCAGGATTTCTCTCATGAAACATTTTCCCCATGGATGGCAGTCTTTAATTCTAAAAAGCTGCATCTAAGAAGATGAATTGAAAACAGAATCCAATAAAAAATACAGAATCAATAAAAATAGAAATAGCAGGAAGGATTTGGAAATGTTCATACTATAAAATAAATATATACTTTCCATGCTGAGCAGACTCCTGGTAGATCCTCTACCTTTCAGAACCAAGTTGTATAGTCAACCCATCTCTTTGAAATCCAGATATATTTTAGTTTCAAAATTGAAAGTACTGTATGTCTAGATATTTATCATTTTATCCTTAACCTGACAACTAGATATGTTCAGAGCAAAACAAATGAATGCTCAGATCCAAGTAAAGAACGACTACAGCAGTCTAGGAGATTTGCCATATGCCAAGCCATCAAGTAAGATCTATATTTATTACTATATACATATATATAGCAGATTTAATTCAGATATAGAAACTTCCAGACATCTGGACTCAGCTTTCCATTTGTTATTGATGCTTTTGATAGTTTGAGGACTTCAGTACTTTTTTCAAAACCCAGTTGTCTGGAATTCTCTTGGACTTGTATTAATCCTGTTTCATTCACATAAGTTAAGAATTGCTTCATCCTTTGATTTTCCTGCATTTTTTTTAAGAATGGAAAGGAAAAAGAAATTAAGTCATGGGCTGTTTTGATCTTTACAGTTACTGGATGTCAAATCATGAAAATGATTTTAGAAAAAATGAAAAGCTTGCTTTTGTTCACAAAGAGATGGAAGAACTGGTTTATGCAGAAGGAGATAGCTCATTGAGAGACATTATTGATTTTTCAAATATGTAAGTATTAGTACTATTGTTATACAATGATTTAATTAAGTGACATTTCATGTTTATGTCACAAAAGGCAGTCCAAGGGTGTTCCATGGTGAGTTATTAGAAACCATTTTGTAACTTAATTTTATACAACACATGGGTGTAACCAGGGGTCTTGCAGGGTACTATAGGTGCACATGGTATGGAAATGGAACTATGTCTAAACTAACGGTCATCTTGTGGAGTGGTATTAATCCAAGGATTTGCAGAATCAAAAAAAGAACATTTTCAGATGGAGTAATATGAAGTAGAAATTATAAATAGGTCAGCAGAGCTTTAGCATTTCTGGAGAGGAGGGGGGAGGGGGAGGGGGTGTATCCGGATGCACCCCCCTTGCTAACAACCATCCAACATGATAGAAAATTTCAGCACACAATGAAAAGAAAAAGTGTAATACCAACAAATATGCAAGGGCATCAAGACATCAAGTCATGTTGGGTAATGCTAGTCTAATGTCAATGACTTAGAAGAGATTTCTTTTGTAGGGAGCTCATTGAAGTCAATCAACGTGCATTAAGTGTCAGCACCAACCACAGATCATCAAGTGGTCGTAAAGTGTCTCTTGCATTCCCTGATCAATCCCCAGAAGAAATTGCTGAACAGCTCACTTATCTGGACTTTAAAATGCTGAGGAGAATACCTGTAAGTATAACTTAGTAGTACATATTTTGAATTAGTGATGAAAAGAGCGGGGTAAATGGTCAACTGTGGTAAAGAACACAGCTATTTTGAATTTGTTTTTGCAAAAAGGGTCTTCAAGCAGAGCTACATATTCTTTATCCTCCCTAGGCCTTGTATTCTTTCTTATTGAAGTGATAAAGAAGGTAATTTAGAAAGCGTGGACAATGGGAATATATAACCACAACCAAAACAACATGGCCTAAGCAGTGAATCCCAATCAAAAATAACAGGCAGTAAATAAACATTGAACTGTCTGGCCAAATGAGTTTTGGGCATGTCCTCTTGACCAGTAACATGACTGGTCACATGTTGATCAGTCTAATGTAGCTGGTCACCATGTCCAGCCATTGAGCACCTGTTATTTTTAGCCCTGTCACCCTGCACGCCCAATCAAACTCTAGCACTAGAGTCCTTGTACACACCTAGTGAAGCCAAAACTAGTGTGTAACATCAGAGTACTAACCAACCAAAGAAACACCTCCTCCCATAGAAAATATGCCAGCTTTTCCAAGTGATGTAACCCCATTTATAAACATTAAGGATTATACTTATGCAATGATGCAGAGCAAATAAGAAAAATCTTAATCTAAATGCTCTTGCCACTACTAACAGTAAGCTTCATTTAGTTTTCATGTTAATCTTGTCTAAAAGCATTAGGAATGAAATAAGCCTAAAATGCTTTTTGCCAGTGATCAACACAAGTGTTCTCTTCCATTTTGTATTCATTTCAAATATGGATCTTGTTTCAGTTTTCAGAATGGAAGGGGTATGCTCAAAAGTCAAAAATGAATGAGTGTCCTTTACTTGAGAGGTATGTGTCAATGCTTAATGGTTTGTCCAAGTGGATTCAGGCGATGGTGCTCAATCACAGGACTCCAGAGGAAAGAGCACATTGCATAGAAAAATTTCAAAAAGTTGCTAAGGTATGCAATTCTCAAATATAGTATTGCAGCTATTTTTGGTAGCTGCAGGTTGTCCATTTGTTTTTCACTGCCACCAGTTTAAAATATAAAAAGAGAATATAAAAAAAGAAATACTGTGGCGCTTAGATGCAGCTACCCTTTTTGCGTAATACTTAAATTTGCTATAGCAGTGAAATAGAGTGCAAACAATATAACCATGAAACTTTAGTAATACTAAATAGTACAATTTCATGCTAATTCTATTGTTTTCTATTGTTTGATTAGCACTATTTTGTACTATTTAGTAATTAGTGTTTCACGGATTAATTGTTTGCACTCTAATACTAATTTCTGATAAGTTTATTTCCCAAGGTTTTTTGCTTATTTTTGTCCTRTTATTACAGCATCTCAAAGAACTTCAAAATTTCAATGGCTTGCTAGCTGTTTCTGGGGGACTAACCAATTCTGTCCTATCAAGACTACAGCAAACAAAAGCTTGTATTTCCCAGGATTGCAGAGAGGTATCCATGTTGTTCGTTCTTTTTCTTTAGGAGTTAGAAAAAATTGTGTTACAATAACAGGGCTTTAAAAAATGGACAATGTCCAGCCAGAATTGGAACTTGTCTGGTCACATTTGACTTGCCAGTTATTCTTGCAGTAAAGTTGAGCAAGAAAACAGATGTGACTGAGCTAAATCTAAATTGGCCAGTCAGTGATCTTGACCAGAGGACAGCTTATCTTACTGAAGCTCTGCAATAACCTGAAAATCTCTTCCACTTTCAAAGGCTTGTTTAATTAGAGCAGGGCTGGATTAGCTGACTAGTTTTTAATAGACCCTTTTCGAGTTCCAAATTACCACTGCGTTTCTTGATTACAGACTCATTTGCACAGGGTTAGCCTCGAGTTTGTGCAGAATATTCACGTGTTCCAGTCAAGGTCCGTCGAGTTTCAAAATGTTYGTATTGTTGAAGTTGTGCATTCTTTTCTTTTCTGTTGGTATTTGTGAATATTTAAACACTGATACGAGGCTAACCCTGTGCAAATGAGTCTGTAATCAAGGAACACAGCGGTAATTTGGAACTCGAAACTGGTCTATTTGTCAATCCTTAGAGATGGCAGAATAAAGTATTAGAATCTTTTTAAACCCTTATTAGTAGTGGTAGGCAGTTTTATACCACAAAAATCCAATATTCTCCAATTGCATGCATCATTCACATAAATTAGTTTGCTTGATTTCCTCATATTAAAAAATGAATATTTTCATTCTTGTAATTGCAGTACATGACCCTTCTTGTAGAGTTTATGTCATCTGAGAACAACTACTCCACCTACAGGAAAAGAGTTTCCTGTTGCAATGGATTTTATATTCCAGTACTGTAAGTACTGCAAAACAATAGAGCGCATGCAGTAAAACCATGAGTTAAAAAAACAAAGTTGCAATACTGACAAATAGTACTATTTAGTGACTAATAGTTGTTATCACTCAACCAGACCATTCATTACACAAAGACAAATACACAAGAGACCTTTTGTGCTAGAAAAAGATTCCACCACAGAGGAGGCAGTATAATGAAGATGAATAACCAATAAGTGATGGTGATAAGCACCACCAATTTTGTAAAGTAATTTTGTAAAGTAGGGTGCTAGGGCACACCTCGCTTTGCCACCTATGCACATCTCTCTGTCAAAAAAGGAATCTACAAAAATGCACATAGACCATATTTACTTTCATCAACTTATATTTTTATTAATTTCTATTTTTTCTATTTCATGAATTCTTTCTACTCCACTAACAGAGGTAAGTGTTGTGATAATTTTCTGCCTGAGCAAAACATTTTTCCTGGATTAAATTTCCAATGTTTTCAATAATAAAGAACTCTTGTTGTGTGTTCTACCAGGCATTCAGCTCAAGGACCTTATTGCCACTAACACAGCTCTCCCAGACATGGTAAATGGCAATCTCATCAATGTACACAAGCTTATCACTCTTGCTGGGATTATGTCCAAGTTTCTGGTTGTACAAAAGATATCACCTCCTGTTACACCGAACATGGAACTGCTGAATATGCTTCGGGTGAGTTGAGGTTTCTAAGTGAGTAGTACTACTTATCTCCTCCTAAAGATAGTGAAATGAATTCATAATTTGTTTCTACAATATTTCTACCTTCTTCTCTGTTGCAACCACCATCCTAATGTATGATTATGGATTACCATACTCCTCTTTGCTGGATTATCGACTGCATATATYTCTCTTGAAAAGCACAGCTGGTGTGAACTGCTTATGTGATTTAGATTCCGGGAACCATCAAATTTATAGAGTTGTTTGATGGTGCGCTCCTGACCTTCAAAGGCTTTCTTCGGCATGATTTCTCCGTTTCCTGCTTTCCTCCCTCCRCTTAACTCCTAAATTCCAATTTCACCTGGCGTCCAGTGATGTGTGCTGTAGTTATGAGCCTTTGACTCAAGAGATCGAGAGTGATCAACCAATTACTGCACGATCGATGTAAAATATATGACAATTAATTATCCATTACTAATTGAATGGATTTGTATTGTGCTTTTGAACAGGTGTCATTACAGCCGCGATTATCAGATGACGAGTTGTACGAATTATCGTTAGCAAGAGAACCTCGGAACGCAAACAACACGTCCACAAGTTCATTAGTAAGTTAGATATATAACTATTGGTACTATTAGTATTCAAGATTTTACTTTTGTCTTTGAGATTTGCATTATCTTGGATGAATCAAAGAATGCAAACGCTTTTCGGGTCGGAGCAAGAAAGCGGAGAGGTGCACTCCTCTCAGAGGGATTTTCTTACCAGAAAAAAGTGGGCTGCTTCGATTTGGGTTTCTTGGATGAATCAAGCGCATTTCTGCATGGGCGAGAGAAGAGGGAGAGAGAAGAGCGCTGCTCTCAGCGGTGTCGCATCTTTAATGTCTTGTAGGAACCAAAGATTTATCTAAGATGATATCGGTTATTCTCCTATTTGTTCACACAGTGAAAATATTTTGAACCTCTTAAGAGATAATTGTGCGCCTTTACTGCAGCATTCATGTAATAAAAAAATATTACATCGCATTTGTTTGTGACRCGCATCTATCAGTAAGCATTACTCTATTTATTTCCAGTGTCCAAACGAATCGTTAAAGGACCCAGACAGCATTATAGAGTTTGGTGACTGGGCGTCGAGTTCTCATGGAGCACCGGATTTTAAAGTACTAGAAAGACACGTGGCTGCCATGGTCGAGGTCTGTCGTAACGCATTGAATTACACCCATCTTTATGACTATGCGACTGGCACAGCCCTTGTTTTTCGACTACCGTCAATAAAAAAAATGCTTACTCAGACCGTTGGAAATTTGATTGACGGAAGGCTATTGTGGCTGGTTGTGTGGGTCGCTTAATTATAAAAATGGATGTAAGAAAGTACTTTGTTGTGGTTCGCGGCACTAAAAAACATATCACGACAACATGTCAACAACATGTGTATAGGGATACATATAGTACCGACGATGTGCGTACTGGACCTTCCATTTGCGCACATTTGGTGGGTATGAAGATATCAAGAGGATATCGTATAACGGACGTGGTGTGTCCCAAAAGTAAGCAAAATTGTTTGTTCGTTTTTGTTTTGTAGGCGGTCTTTGGAGTGTACGACATAGACAAAGATGGAACGATAAGCGGCAAAGAGTTCGATGCAATCGCCACTAATTTCCCCTTCATTGATACGTTTGGGGTGATCGATGTCAATAGGTAAGCTAAGTCAACTGTGGTATATGATTTTCATCTGTCTTTGCTAACTGTATGTGCAGACTATCTGTCATTCGTATTTATAATTTTATTCAGCCAAAGAGGCAGTCAGTCAGTCCTTTATTCATTCATTTATTGATTCATTGATTTATCGATTCAACGATTCATTCGTCATTCGTTCTTTCATTCGTTCATTCGTTCATTCGTTCATTCTTTCATTCGTCAATTCGTTAATTCGTCCACTTGTCCGTTCGTCCATTCGTCCATCCTTTCATTTCATTGGGTGGCGTAGTGGTTTAGTCCTACCGCTCGACTCTCACCACTGTGGTCCGGGTTCGTGCCCTGGCTCAGACTGGATCATATGTGAGTTGAGTTTGTTTGTTGTGTTGTTCTCTCCCTTGCCACGAGGGTTTTCTCCGGGATCTCCGGTTTCCTCCCTCCGTAAAAAGCAACATGTGAGTTGAGTGTTGTATGTTGCAGATATAGAATGTAGTGGTAGTGCGTGTGGAGGGAACCTCACGGAAGAGCCCCGCATGGGGAGTGGTGGTTGTAAATACATATTCTTTCCGTCCGTCCGTCACTTTGTCAGTGAGTCAATCATTTTAAAATTCATTAATACACTCACTCAGATTTTCTTTTTCCCTTTCTTTCAGTGATGGTGTAATTTCTAAAGAGGAAATGAAAAATTACTTTCTGAAGGTCAATTGTCAGAATTTAACCAAAGAGTTTTCGCACACTTTCCAAGAAACTACTTATTTTACTCCCACCTTCTGCTATCATTGTGGCGGCTTGGTTAGTATTCAAAACAGTCCTTCTTGATAATACATCCACTTTCATGCTTGTTATAATAATTTAATAATTTCTATAGCGCGATTTTCCATGGCAAATGATCAAATGCGCCTTATAATCGTAAGTGTTAATAAAAAGTGAAAAATAGATATTTACAATTATGATAACTCTATTGAAATATGTATAGTATGTAAACGAACTGTAATTTGTATAAAAATATGGAAAATTGTTATTGTACTTTAGTGCGTCATTATATCAATAGGAATGTCTTTGCCAAGGCCCTTCTCATTTATCAGTTACTTTTTCATTTTCAGTTACGAGGAATTATTAAACAAGGATACAAGTGCAAAGGTATTATTATCATTGATATCTTATATTAACTGACTTGTGTTGTCAGCAACGCTGTCCGCAACGTCTGAACAGTGTGTTTGGAATTTCAAACAGTACCACGTTTATGGAATTTACGTCATACGCAAGGGTCTATATTTTTTTTCTATCGTTTTAGGCTGCAACGTCAATTGTCATAAAAGCTGCAAGAAACAAATAGTGATCGAATGCCGAACCAAGTCTCCAATGTTACATAGTAAGGCCTTTATTGACACTAGTCTTATATGCTGCTGTTATTAGTGTCGTAACGCAACGCTCACTCCCATTGAGGAAAGATCGTTGCGTGACTTGACGACACTTGTAGCAGCTGTGTAGAAGTCTATATTTACACTTGCTGACATTTAAAACAATAATTCCCACCTTTTGCTGCGCGAAATCATACGATTTGCCATCGTGACAAAATGGGATTTTCGTGGACGTCAATCAAAGGGATTTTTTCCTCAGCCAATCAAAATCAAGACTAAATATACAAGCAACTGTCCAATCACTGTGATTGAAATGCTTGTGGCCATGTTGGTTGAATTTAACGAAAGATGTTCTTCGGATGAAGTATGAACCAACATGATCACCACGTGTTTTGTTATTTCATTCTCTTGGGAATGATTGAAAACCTAAAGCTCCCCATTTATGCGAAATCTTCTTTCTCGTTCCGCAGTGGCTAGCAAAGGTGACACACTTCGAAGGATAAAAAACAGAATGAAGTTTATCAAGCAGCCTTCAGTGGAGAGCCTTAAGTTGCAGAACGGAGAGAGTGTCAGCGTACCGGCAGACTTTTATGAAAGGCTGCTAAAGGCGGAGGAGGTAAGGCAACGAGGCAGTCAAAAATGGGTGTCGTATCCGGCATTTCATGTAATATTTGGTTGTAAATTCAACGTTTCCTACTTTTTTTTAATCGCCATCGACTCAAGATGTTAATGGCATACAGTAAATAATTTGAGGTGATTCAATCATGCAACTCTAGTGAAAATGAACTAAAATGAACTATTTTATCTTGTGCGATTCGTGTGATGGGCAATGTTCGTGCGCGTTATCGTCAGAACTCACGTCTGCTCGGATCAAGTTGCGCATCGCTTTTATTCTCTTTTGAGCAACAAAAAAATTTTTTTGTTTGATTAAGTGCATTTTAAATACCCAATATAATTTTGACTATTAGTGCGCGATTAAAGAACAGTTTTCTCTCACTGCAACTTGTCTCGCAAAGGCGTTGCGACACAAGTTGCATGGAACATTGCTGCGTGTAACCTACGGCGCAGCCTGAGAAAATATTGCGAGAAAAGTTGCAGCAATCGTTGCGAAAAGTAGAATGATTCTTATCTACGATTGCGTCTCCGTTGCACCGTTTAAACCCTTTTGTCGCAAAGCTGTAGCGAGACAAGTTGCAGAGACGATTGCTCCGCATAATAGTGCCTTTAGTGAAGTCGAATCTTTATTTTTGTTTCTTTTTTTACACCAATAGTCCCGAGACTCCCTGCTCGTAGAGAACGCGAACCTGTCGAACCAGCTGGACGAAGCTGACAAGAAAATCAGTATCCTGCAAGAGCACTTGGACGTATTACGCCAACAAACTGTTACTTTTATACTGGAACAAATGGATGCCTTACAGATGCAGAAGGTCACGGCTGTTTAATGGTACCTGACTGATTTGAGGCCTCGTGTCTGTGGGATGCTAAGAAAGACAAGGCCCATAACATGCAGTCGTACTCACAAATGCTTGGGAGAACTTTGGTAATGTGGAGAAATTGGTTACCCTAAGTCATGCCCCCACCCCTAGTAAAACTCAAGAAGAATAAATTGGGCATACAAAAGACACCTAAGAAATCACCCCCCCCCCCCCGATTTATTCATTTTTATCTATGTCAAACTGGTTTTGGCATTGGTAAAGTGTCATTTTTTATCCATATATTTTTCAAAACTTCTTTTAGTAGTTACATAACGTCTTCGTACTTTCTTCTGAAACCCCATCGCAAAAAGAAGCAAATACGTCGTTATTGAGCAGTAGTACAAGTTATTAGTGCTGGTCACAATTGTTCATTCATAATCATGATTAAAATGGCTCTTTTTTGGTTTTGAAAGGCAGCAGCAACTGCATGAACGAAAGCCAAGGTACTTAAGGTATACAGTGCTGATGTGGTTTTAATCAGGTTTGCTCCTAGTCTTATATCTGTATGAGTACAGTCAAGACCGATAACTGAAAATAGAATCGCTACAAAGTTAAGCAATCGGTTCGACAACATCAATTAAAGCAGAATGCGAATGCAATAGATCCTGCAACACCAAAAAAAAACAACATTTTTTGCTCAGTTAATTGTTAGTTATATGATTATCATCAATCAATCATTATAATAATCATGCTCGCCAGTAAAATCGCACTATAAATATCTATAATTTTTCTTACATTGGATGAAAACGTTTTTCCTACGTTTATGTATCTATCTTAGTGTAAATTCTACATTCGCATGCAAATGTATTTAAAGATAATAGAATAATTTTTTTCATGTTCGTTTAAATTCTAATTTCGCTTCGACAGCTATAAAACACGGGTTCCATGTCAAAACGACCTCCAAAAACAAAAACAAAAACAACAACAAAACAACAACCTAAAAGCTAGCCATAATATGATAATTATAATATAGTAGTAGAGCAGATATGTGCTTGTATTGTACATTTTCTGTTAAAAGCACCAAATTTTCAACGCCGTTGCACAGAAGCTTGGAACCATTGTTTATTTGTCGCCGAAATGAATTTGACGGATACGTGTTTATCCCCAAAATAATAGCTTAGTTTGTATATATCGCACATTGCAGGGATTGCAGAAATTTTACATTTCATATCTTTTAGCTTGGGAAGGAATGCGCGACTTATTTTAATTTTTTTTACTAAATACAGAATTATTTTTGCTTAAAAGTGTACAGTTTGTTTAATGTATTATGTAATTATCGATGTCAATATAATATATATTGATGTTTATTTAGTGAAATGTAAACTGTCAAACAGTTCGATTTAATAAAAGGACGAAAAACAAATCATAACTAGAATAATGCTTATTTTTCGGGCTTAAACAACGTTAGAGYGGGTACAGGGTATCAGGACCTCCTTGTCGTTCCGTGAAGGTTTGTCAATGTTGTCGTCACTCAGCAGTTGTTGCTAGCGCTGCTGTTGTAAAGAAGTTGCAATCAGAATTCTTTTATAACTTGGCATAAAATCACTCCATTACATATTCTTCTTCAAACGATTTGAAAATGGGGGCGGTCACCAAAAATTTTGTGGTGGGTAAACGCTGAGCGGCAAATATGGTGTTCATCGAGCTAAATAAGACGGGCGCATATCGTAAGCTTGGGTATATGCTAACACAAGAAAAGTCAATTATTGGTAACTCCTAGGTCACTGTCCGTCTGTCTGTCCGCGTCGATTAGTCGAGGAAGATTGTCCAAGTTGATTGGTCGAGGTAGATTGGTTACGATTCAACTCCCCAGTTCCCTCCCCCAGGAACTTTTGACTCGTAACTATCTACCTCGACCAATCAACTTGGACAGACAGACGGACAGCGGCCAAGGGAAATAGAGGGACTTGGCTCGAACTCTAGAAAACTCCTCCTAGATTATGATTTACATACTAGCCACTCTCAATATTTCGTATTTATGATAATTCTGTATTTCTTTTCCCAAGAGTGTTTGAACAGTCCCCTTCTGAAAGTCTCACAGAAATCTGATAAGGCTAAGCATGGGGCTCCTGTAGCAAAAAATAAAAAATAAATAAAGACCTTTACTGCGCATGTGCATTCTAGCGCCAGTTTACTTTGTAGTTGCCATGGGAACAAGGATTATGGAAACCCACAAGAGACAAAGATGGCGAATACAAAATCATAACTACAAGAAAGGATTTAGTTGAGCTCGTTGTTTGYCATCCGTGGAAAATTCGCTATCGTTATATTACCCAATACTTCAAGTAAAACACGTATATCTCCGTTGTGCTTCAATATGTAGTTGGATCGCTTGAATTATTCAGAGATTTTTGAGGGAAAATCATTGAACAAGACGATAAAGTCATGGAGATTCAAGCGGTAAGGTTTCTGTGTTGCTTGTTCTTTTGCACCTGAGAAAAGGATTTGAAAAGATTATCTAACGAAGGGTTACGTTGATAAATAATTCTTGTATCTGAAAGGCTTCTTTTAGGTTGACATCTCGCATTTCAAATATTTTGGCGCTCAAGTTCACACTTACTAAAGTTAGTCTGTCCGATCTGGAAACTTTGGGCACAAAGTATGCAGCAAGCTATCTTTAATTATTTTTAGTACATCATTTTATCGAGAAACTTTACTAGGCATTTCTTATACCAAATACCAAATGTAAAACTTTTCAAACCAATTTTGATAGTTACTTATTAACCAAAAGATGTCTAAGTTTGTCAAAATTTTATACACTATCCCATGCACAAGAGTCACCCAAGTGTCATTAGCGTAAGGCCAGGAACTCAGCTAAGTACTTCAATTTGTAGTTTACTTTTATTCATCGGTGAGGCATAATCTCAAATGATGAAGAAGAGGGTCCATCAATCTGTACAAAAAACATTAACTGTATTTACATGTAAAGATTGTTTTGACCCTGCTTTTATATTGCGTGTGATGATGCGCATAATCGCTATAATCGCGGCTTTCACAAAAGGCCGAAAAATATTATATATGGACATCTTATAAGTGTATTTTGAGTCTTAGATGCAATAGCTCTTTTCCTTTAATTTTGGAAGGAAGAACTACTGTAGCAGAAACAGAGCAATTAGCACACATTTTACCACTACTGTAAATTTTCTCCCTTTCTGATTGGTCCAGAGCCAGGGGAAATAGAAGGACATATCAATAAATTATGTCAGCAAATCAATGTGCACGCTTAAAACCCTGTTTTTCTTTCAAATTTTACCCTTGTTTTACCCTCGGCAATGCCTTGTGAGTCCACAATGATGACAAAAATTATTTTAAATAAGAGGACATACCATGGAAAACYGGAGGAAATTGTCCAAATATTTTTTATATTGCGTCAGTTGCCTTGACCTTTGACCACATAGTTTTCAAGTTTTTATTTTTTTTGATAACGCATGCCACCAACTTTTCTTGACGTGATCAAAATAAAAAATCTTCAAGTTCTGGTACTGTGCATGCTCATGCACAACCTGGCGCCTGTGCGTATAAAAACTATATAGAGCCACCTTAAAGCAGGTTTGGCTAAAACACACCACAGTAACTGAAATAACAACATCCTTTGAATGAATYCCAGCATGTAAGATCACTGATTAGAATCATGATCACAGTTATGGCATGGCTTGTCTGAATGTACTCTTTGCAGTCCTAAAAATATGCTCAAGAAATGCAAATTGCTGATTTATTGACCAGTAGTACATAACTCTATTATTATATTATAAAATTTTAGAATGGGCAAAAACTCAAAGGCAGAGATCCACATACACCTGTGAGGTTCTTGCCACAGTTGCCTGAGACTCGTGCCAAGCCGGCATGGCAACAGGCTCCTCCTTCATTCCAACTGAGTAGCAAGAGGCCAGGTTTCGATGGTGAAGATGGCATTGGTGTCATCCCTGGTATGATCAATATTTTCTGTAATTAATATTGTAGTTAGTAGTATATGATTTTCATCTTTGTGACTTTGGAAGATAAAAGGGACATTTAAACGGTTTCTTTTTTAAAAGTGTATTAAATGAATAGATGATGCACCTATATAATGACTTTTATTAATATTTAACAGCATCCTCCCCCTTATCTTGTGAGCAGAGGTTTTTTTTCCCTTCGTAGGGCTAAACGGCAGGCTGGTCGTGGAGGAAAAATATGTTAATTCATCTAATATAATTTGCTCTCTTGACATACAACCAAAAAGGAGGGCAGAAAAAGACTTCTGCTAGCAGGGAACCTCTCCCTCCCCCCATTTTTTGCCTCTGACACGCTTGGCCTGCACAGATATGTACTTGATAGTCTTTTACAGATATGAAATTTTAGTTGAAAGATTGTGTCTTACTGAGAATTACATTTCTTCTATCTACTTTAAAATGCAAAAAAAAAAAAAAAAAAAAATTGTATTCAATTTTCCAGGAAAGAAACCAAAGCAGCACCTACGCAGCAAAACCTGGGAGGCTAGTAATGGAAGGACGTCACCTTCCTCTAGTGCAGCACCAGCTGGTAGTAATATTAAGAAACAAACAAGTTATGCACCAAAAAAGGATAGGGAAGCATTCCGTAATGCTCTTGTAAACATTATCATGTATGTAGCACAAGTGATATCTTGTTTAAGATACTAGGGACCTTAAGAATTGAGTGTTCCAAGGTCGATAGTGTGACTCTGTTTTTAAAGTGGCTTTTCATGTGCTTGCTTTTATCCTTAGCTTGTTCTCTCTAGGATGTGAAAATAACACCAACTGACAATCCAATGAGAATGGTAATGCCTAGAAAAATGGCATGTCCATAAAAAGCTGCTTTAAAAATGTCATCACGTTGTCACGTGAGCTCCCCCATTCTCAATTCTTGTTGCTTCTTGAGGTCCCTAATGACATACATGCTGACAAGTCATATTTTGTTGTTGAATAATACTGATGTTAAAATGGATTGTAATTAATTGACAGGCAAGATGAAAGTGCTCCCCTTCCAAGACCATCTTCAGCTGGAGCAGAACTACCTCCATTGGAGAGGACAGGTTCTCCCACTGCTGCAGAAAAAGATATCCTGGTAAGGGAGATATTATAAACCAGGGCTTTCAGATTTTCTATTCATTTCAAATTCAAGTGATAGTTGACTTGAGATAACCAGCTGTAAAAAGAAATTGCTACAGCTGTTGTTTGTCAGCACTTTAAAAAATACTACTTTGGACTTTTTCTTTCTTCAGCGTTACTATTACTACATCCATCATGGTATTGACACAGAGCATGTTGCCCCAATGGAGGATTCTTGGTTAGACCATGTGCTAAATCTAGTGCCTCCAGTACTAAAGGTACTAGTATATTGTTCCTTCAATACTAAACTGACTTAGTTAAAAATATTGGGTACTTTACTTACTTACTTCCCATTATGCCTAGCTGTCATGTAGAGCAGCAACAAAGGATTGGGTACTTTAATTAGGTTTATATTAACTAGGCAAATTAAATAGCTGCTGAAATTAGCTAACTTGCATTATTTCTGTAGGATGGCCTTGAAATATGTATAGAGAATCTCTCTGATGAGATGAAGGAAGATTACTTGTTGAGTGTCAAGAAAGCCATAGGTAAAGTGAAAAGCTTCCATCAGAAAACCTGAAGAATTCATATAATGACACTGAAGGCTAAGACTCAACAACTGATCAAGCAGGATCAAGTTTAACTTGTTTTTTTTTTACATGTATCTTTAGTTGACTTTGTACTCAAGGACCCAAGGGAGAAAGATGATGACAAAAAAGAAGAAGTTTTGGAACACAGAAAAGAGTAAGCCCTTGTTTTCTTCAATTTTTTTGTCAAATATTATATTAAATGCATTGAATAATATTATCAATCTTATAATAAGTATTGAGTGATTTTATACTCAGTTTTTGTTTAAATGTTTTTCAGATTGATGCAGGTTCCTAAGCCTTGGTACAGGTCTTACGTATCATCCAAAGTAGCAATGGATCAAGATTTGTTTGTTACTAACCCTACAATGGCAGCTGTGCTTGACCTTTGGCACAAAACCTACAGGTAAATCACAGACCTTTACTTTGTTTGAGTGGGAATTTTTTGGTACTGAGTTACACCCATTAATTCAACTGTTGGTATGCAATAACAATGAAAGGGCTTTCCATTGTTACCAGTATGGTATGTCATAACTTTGAAATGGCTTCCCATTGTGAGATGTATGGTATGCTTATGACATTAAAATGGCTTTCCATTGTTACCAGTATGATATGCCATAACATTGAAATGACTTCCCATTGTGATGCATATGGTATGCTATGAAATTGAAATTGCTTTCCATTGTTACCAGTGTGGTATGCCTGTTGTGAAAATTATGGTATGCTATGACATTGAAATGGTTTTCCATTGCTACTAGCACAGTGTGCTATAACACTGAAAGGGCTTTTATATGTTTCCACTAAGTGTTTTCAATCATAGCAATAAATAAATAATGTTTTATATCTTTGTCCATATAGATTTCTGAGGCTGGTTGATGTCAAGGATATTCAACTAAGGCCTGATGCTCTAGAGTTAGCACTCTTCCAGAATGTTGTTATGAGACACATTGAAATTGCTAAGGACACACTCTTAAAGAAGTAAGTTCATAACATGACTTCATAAACATGTACTTGGTGTAAAATAGGCAATACCAAACAAAAGCATTATCAATGTAGAGTCAAAGTGCAGGGTGTAGGAGACTCTGTTTTCCTTGCCGATTACTCAGGGACTGCAGAGCTAGGGGAACTAAGGGGCTCAGCAGTCCCTGTTACTCATTCATTTTTCTGCTCTAAGACACAGTTAATTGTGGTAAAACAGAATGGATTGAGTTCCACCACCATAGTTTATAGTAGGGAACTGGTTATAAAACCTGGCAAACTCAAAGGGACGATCTATTCCTATACATTTTGATGTTGAACAAATGACACACAATCAAAACAAATGTGGTGCTTGATAGCTATATCTTTGTATTTCTACCCCTCTATTAACTGTGCTGTCATACATGCCAATGTCTAAAACCATAGGAACTTATCAGACTATTCATCTTGTCACAGGTGGTTTCCAGAGGTTCAAAACATCTATTACCAAGGCAACAAGCGTAAACAGGTGCCTAGCAACCAGAACGCTAAAAGACTTGAAGCATTTTTCAATGCAGCTGCTGTGTTAATGACCAATCAGCTGCAAACCCTGGCGTTGGAATCTATTGAAGACTATACTAAACTCTTCTGTCCTCCTGCTGTAAGTACAGTACAAGTTGCCCCTAATCAACTTACCTCTTTCCATTGACCTCTTGCTGTGTTCCTTTTAATACTTCATTCCCCATCAGGGGTAGATCTAGGCAGGAGCAAAAGGGGGCTGTACCCACCCCCCACCCCTTCAGCCATATGTAGTTTTATTTGATCAAAGTAATGGTTTTACAGTAAAATTAGCTGTTACTTACAAGACAAGCAAAACTCGGTCAAGCACCCTACCCCCCTCCCTCACATTGTTAGCTGGTTCCACCACTGCCCATCCATCCTTGACCAGGTTAAAACCTGACTTCACTGGCTCTGAAGGAAAAAGAAGGAATGTCACTGCGATTCTCAATATACTGTGAACTCATACATTCAAGCAGCTTGTTGTGAAATTGGTTTTTCGCTGCTGCCACCAGTCCATAATGTCAAGGCACTGACTGATTATTTTTGATTGACAGCAGCAAATAACCAATTTCACAACAAGCTGTTGTTGCAGTAGCAGTCCCTACCTAATGCCCTGTTAGCAGGGTTCAGCATTGGTTTGTCGTGGGCGATGTCATCTGTACCAACACACTGAAACACTTTCTCCTTAGCAGATCCCCATAGCCATTGATAGATATTGCCTTTTACTTGAGTGTTTCAAAAAGTTTCATTTTCGCCGTCTACATTGAAAGCCTCTCTCATTTTCCTCTCTCTAGTCATCTGTGAGGGTCTTGGAACACCCAGGGTTCATAATGCGCCTCGTTCTTGAAGGAGACACTGTCAAATTTGAACCGGATTTTCAAGACTTTGAGGTAAGCAGCTAATATAAGATCTTTGAAATAGCTGGTGGGTGCCATTTGCATAATCTAGACATAGTCAATGGAGGGGCATTCCCCTTAGTTAACTATGTTCTAGATAATCATTTAATCGTTCCATTTTCAGGTTGTTCTGCTCAACGTTTATGATGTCATGATTAAAGCTGTCATGGTGGTCCCAAGAGTTGAAACCAAGCTTTACTCTGAATGGGTGAGTCTTGTGCTACAGTACATCTCTTCAGGAGTGGTGACAGTTGAAAATGGTGACTGACGTCATTCACACGGCGCGTCTGTTTTTTTGCATGCACAGATAATAGCAGTCCATCATTTTGGATTGTATCTTTGCTTTTGATCGTTTTAGTGCGGACAGGGCCTTACGGTGCACGGTGTGAATCGTATGAGCACACGGCAGTTGCATGGTTCGGATAGGTTTATTTTATTTTATTTAGCTAAAGACTTTTATAATCAACATTTATTCCACAGTCTGGAATCAAGAAGACCTTAAAACCAGTAATATCAGAGGAAATCGTCAACGAGGCAAAAGAAAAAGTAAGTCATACCATCATTAGGTAGCCGATTACTTCAAAACAGCGCGCACTCGTTTTTTATATGACGCTTCAACAAGGAAGAATAATAGCTTGTTAAGATTTTAGGCCAATAGAAGTAATGCCACACAACTAAAGATATAGAGTACAAGAAAGTACTTGAGTTGAAAAGATGGCACTCGCTGTTTATTGTAGCCTGCTTAGCAGCTCTCTGTCTGGTCTGACCAAGGACAGATGGTCGCTAATCAGGCTATATTTACAGCCTTGATGCTGAAAACCATATCCAGCTTTGACGCACCCACTAGGAAATACTCCTTCTTCCCCGATAACAATATACACATATTTCGAAAAACATTTTCGGTCGGTGATCTGAAACCTAAGACCGAGTAACACGCTGCAAAATGTATTCACAGCCGAACAACGCAGTTTCCTATTAGATTGGCACTGTTTATGAAGCATGATAGAAATGGGCTTTCTCTTGTTTTAACCCAAGAAAACRTAAAAGCTCAGAAATTCTGATTAGTCTCAGATCGCCCATGTAAGATCTCCGAGCGACAAGGTTTTTTGGAATAGGTGTATATGCATGTCGGACTGATATAAAGTGTGCGAGGAACAGAATCAGGATATTTGATTGGCTGATGCATTTGGTCTTGTAGGTACGTGAGGTAATCGTTCGTGAGATGGCAGGTCCAAAGGAACATCTCAAGTACTACGATAAATACAAGGACCTTATTTCTAAAAAGGTAACTGAACGTGGCTGCATGATGTGGTCCATATATGCTTCACCCATTGTACCCTTGCCAACCATAGAGTCCCCAGTAGCTCAGTGGTTAGAGCATCCGACTAGTCAGAGAGTCATGGGTTCGATTCCCGTCTGGGGCTCAGATCTTTCTGAGTCAGACGTTCTTCCAATCTTGTCTACTTTCATATGTTATTCTATTCTATTCCTTTAACGTAACTGAACTCGTCTGTTTTTCGCTAAGCATCACTTCCAAACGTCTGATTCATTGAATCGTTATCAGAATAAGAATTTGGGCCTACACACCCGATAGCCACCATCAACACAGGTCTTTGAGTGTATCAACAGTTTCATGAAAAATGTTGTTACGCTTAATATCGCTTCATCATCGGTAAAACAGCCTTTAACGTGTGATAGTGGCAAAAGAGTGTGATACTAAAACAATAGCTCAACGCTTTCTTCTTAACGCTTTCTTCTTGTTTGTTTTGGTTTTTAATTCCAACAAATTACAACTGACTTCGACTCACTCTCTAACTACTCGACTGAAGCACACAAAGGCGCCAGGACCGGGCACCGGAAGCCCAGTCCCATGATATCACGCAACATTACAAGAGTTTAGGTATAATAATTTTGAAAACATTTCGATGAGCCAACATAGTCATTTTGATAGGAGGCCCAAAAAATCCGTATCGTACTTCATTAGCTCATTTTCGACCATGTCATCGGGGTATTAAGTCTTAGCCTGGTGGCGATTCATTGCTTATTATTCTTTTCTCTTTTAATCTTAACGCCCAATTTTTCAGGCCRACGCTGATGTGGAACAGTTCCTTCTCGAAGGTCACAAATTCAATCGGTTTGCGAAGGTATTTGTTAGCGATATTGCGTATAGATTTTAGTCATTAATACAAAGCATATAAACATAATGCAGAGTCTAACCTGATTTTCAGGTCCAAGTGGTGGGTCTCCCCCTGGGTCTGAAACTCAGGTTCTATAGCGTCCTATTTTCATTTTGTTTTCAAATCTCTGTAGGAAGTGGAAAGGTTTGCAAAGCTGGTCGATGACATCCAGTACAATTCTCGAAAGGTAAACTATATGATATAGAATGCGCGTCTTGATAGACTTCTCTGGCAGCGTCTTAATAATACTTAATTGTTACTTAGTAACCTTGGCTAAAGGTTACTAAGTGATATATGCYTAAAAGATTCGTACATGTTTGAAATTTAACGGCACGGCACGGTCACTGGGTGGAATTGAATGCAGAATGCATCATTTAATCTGTATTTGTCTGGTTTCAGGTGGTTCGAGTTGGGATGTTTGAACTTCACTGTGACGAGTTGGTCAGAGCCCTGGCCAAACGAGCTGAGGGTTTGCGCACCAAACTGCTACAGAGAATGGCCAAGGAGCATCAAGTTTTGAATAAGAAGTACGGAACTCCATTGTTCATAGAAAAACGTCTGCAACTTTCTTTGACTATTACGGGATGTACTGATACATATTGATATACTGATTATGTTTGGTTGCTATTACAATAGGCTTTGCGAGGAGTACGAAAAAATAGCAGAAAAGGCGCTCACTTCTCCTGCCAACACAGAACACCTCATGGAACTGAAAGTGAGTATATTATTTTTTGTCTCAAATAAGTAATTCTCTGCAACGAAAATTTAAATGGATTCAGAACATCCACGTGTACAGGGAAACACTTTCTCACGGATCACGGAAAGTAGAATTTCTTTGAAAGCATTGCTTCATTTAATTGCGCCAAACAGTTGCAGAGGCGGAGAGATGATTTATTCTCGTGGGTGTGTGAAATGTTACGCACAATAGCTGTCTTCACCCTTGGGATTGTCGTCGCGGCAAAGTCGTTTTTCACAATAAAACACAATGATGTCAAGAGCACGTGCTCAAAGAATTCCCTGGCTTTACTTGACGTTCCCAAACTTCATACTTTGTAGCGACAGCAAATTGCACGTTTACGTACGCGCTTGAAAATGGAGCGTAATATGAAAAATGCCTGCTAGCTCATTATAAGGTTTTGACATTATATGGTCAAATGCTTGTGTTATCACACCTAGGGTCTATACTGATCATATACTGTTGCATTAACTATGTTTTGACATTATATGTTCAAATGCTTGTGTTATCACACCTAGGGTCTATACTGATCATATACTGTTGCATTAACTATGTTTTGACATAATATGGTCAAATGCTTGTGTTATNACACCTAGGGTCTATACTGATCATATACTGTTGCATTAACTATGTTTTGACATAATATGGTCAAATGCTTGTGTTATCACACCTAGGGTCTATACAGATCATATACTGTTGCATTAACTATGTTTTGACATTATATGTTCAAATGTTTGGGTTATCACAACTAAGGTCCATACTGATCATATACTGTTGCANTGTTTTGACATTATATGTTCAAATGTTTGGGTTATCACAACTAAGGTCCATACTGATCATATACTGTTGCATTAACTATGTTTTGACATTATATGGTCATATATCTGCAGTGCCACACCTAGGGTCCATACTGATCATATACCGTTGCATTAACTATGTTTTGACATTATATGGTCAAATGTTTGCGTTAACACACCTAGGGTCTATACTGATCTAATACTGTTGCATTGATTCTGCAGAACTATATAGAACAAGTGGAAAATGAAACCATCTTTGACCTGGAAAAAAGACTCATAGAAACTAAAAACAGGCTGGGATTTTTGGTAAGACTCGATTCCATAGTAAAAGACATGTAAAAATTGTATGATCCGAATATTTATCCTAGTGTTGTTTTACAGGTTGATTACGCGTCGTTCTCGCCTGCTGACATGCGTTTGAATAACAGTGTCTTCCAGTGGCATTTCAGAATGCCTGAAGTATTCGAGGAACACAAGAAGATCGTAAATGCTAATCGCCTTCAGTATGAAAACAGTCTCAAGGTAATTGCTTTTTGGGGGGGGGGGGGGGGGGGGGGGGGGGGGGGGCATGTGCTTTGTGAAAGCTTTATTTGACACCTTACATGAGATAGATAAACGAGGGCGTAGGTTTCATGAGAGAACATAGCGCGCGTGCGCTTTTCATTGCGCCATTTTGAGGTAAGAATGAAAGTTTTTTAAATTTGTATAGTAAGATGTAAATAAAATTTTATATTTGCCCGCTGTGTTGTGTGCAGTTATAGATAACTTGGAAGTTGGCAAAATAGTGTTGGAGAAGTGTTGACAATATTCTCGCGTTCTGCCATGCAATCCCCGCGCGTTCTGTCTTTTTCTTCATCGATTACATGCTATTAACAATAATAATAGTTATGGATTTGATCTTAACTACCATCGTCCTTTTCCATAGATGCGTCGTGAACGCTTCGTGGAGGAGCTGGACAGTTACTCCAAACAACTCGAGGAGTTCCAGACATTTGGTGACATGTCTGAAGTACCAAAATACCTGAAAAAGGCACAGGCCTTGAATCAACGCTTAGAAAGCGCTGCAGACAAGGTAATAGATTCTAGGGACCCGTCATTGACTGATGATTTAACGAAACAAAATTTCTGAGGCAGTACGTCTCTTGTGCATTTTAGTTTCTTTATTGTTTCGAACCTTAGCAAAATATTTTTTTGTTTAGATTACCACATTCAATGTTGAGGAAGAAGCGTTCGGCTGGGACGTGACGTCATATCCACAACGCCAACAGCTTATGAACACTCTTAATCCTTACTTAAAACTCTACGAAACTACAGTAGAATTCCAAACCAAATATAAGTAAGTATGGGTCAAATGTTTACATGTCCTTCAGATATGTGATGAGAATTTACGGTTCCATACTATTTTATTCGCTATGAACTTTGAAGTTCTTTTCTGAGATGGACCACCAAGGTGCGTTCTAGCTTGGGTACAAACAACACCATGCAAGACATGCATGGTGAACAAAAGACGTTTGTACCAAAGCTAGACCACAATGTACCATGATGTTCTCTTTCTATGGGTCTATGAATGGTCTATGAATGCTCATTTGACCTGTTCGCCTCGGAGGGAGAAGAATTCTAACATTGCATATTTCACGTCATCAGAGAATGGATGGAAGGACCTTGGGGAAGCATCGACCCAGACAAAGTAGAAGTTGAAGTAGGAAACTACTGGAGGAGTTTGTACAAACTGGAGAAGCAGTTGAATGATGTGCCATCCTCACAGAAGATTGCCGTAAGGGTAAGGAAACCCAGTCTTTATACTATACTGTGGAGTTCCACACAGTTTGGTTATAGGTCCTCTATGTGATAAATTCAACCGTATGTTTTTTTTTAACGTAAAGAAACGAGGAATTGTGATAAACAGTGTCCCTGTTATCAGATACAGGATATTTGCCCTTCATGTGTAATTCGTTTATTCTTGACTGTTCATCACGCTTGTTAGTGAGACCTATGCTTAACATGCATTGAGTAATACTTGATGGAATAAGCACTTATCACATACAATATTATTTTCATGAAATGTAATTGGGTGTACCTCATCGCTCGTTTATTGGTCCTTTATAAAATGCATTTAGTTAAATATGGAGTTTTGTGAACGCATTAACAACAACAACAACATGTTTATGATTTACTTGCAACTCGCACGTATGAAAATTATCTTCAAGATGGAACCAAACTGTGGTGTTCTTCACAGCTTGGTTTTGGGACCTATACAATTCATGATTTTAGTTTTATGAATAATCACAAATATTCTTTTCTATCAGATGAAAACCAAAGTGGAAGAATTCAAAGAATACATGCCATTAGTACAAGTCGTGTTCAACCCTGGATTGCGTGATCGTCACTGGGAACAGATGTCAGAGATCCTTGGCTTCCCGCTCAAGCCAGATGAGGACATGAACCTCGCCAAGATGACTGAAATGAACTTAGAGCCGTATTTGAAGAACTTTGAGACCATTAGCGAGGCTGCTAGCAAGGAGTTCTCTCTTGAGAAAGCCATGGAAAAGATGGTTGGAGAATGGGATGCAGTGAGTAGGAGTCAATGTACTTTTTTGACCACAAAAAAAAAACCAGACCAGTTCTGTCGTAAGAAAATATACTCAGGAGTAATCACTTTAAATCGCCAATCATTTAACGAAAACATCTCATCCACTGGCTAGACTGGTTGTAAGGGAAATTATCGTGGCTTTCAACCAGAGGAAATCGGCTCTGTTGCACATTTGAAGGTTTAAGCGAGGTTCAAATCTACGCATTTGAATAGTCGTGAAAACTACATGAACACCCAAACATGACAACAATGACAACTGGGTGCCCATTCTTTATATGTTTTTAAAAGAAATTACACGAGTTTATAAAATAGAAAAAGGTTAGCTGCTACTGTTATAGGCCAACAAAAACATCCTTTTAACGTTGATGTTTTGGTGGTTTTGTTTTCTAGGTGGAGTTTGTAATGATACCTTATCGTGAAACAGGCACCTGTATTCTGTCATCTATTGATGACATACAGACACTACTTGATGATCAGATCGTCAAGACACAGACCATGCGAGGTTCACCATTCATTAAACCATTTGAGAATGAAATCAGGTATGGCTACTAGAAATGATGCTGACAGTAACTACGGTGCATGTTATTGAAAGGGGCTGCTTATCATTACATCATTATATTTACCGATTTGGCTTAAATGTTGTCCATACATTTATTTATTGATCCATCCATCCATCCATCTCTCTCCCTTCCTTTCTTCACTCCATCCATCCACCCATTTTGCTCCGTTCTGTCCTCTTCCTTCTTTCCTTCCTTGGCTTCCTTCCTTATTTCTGTCCGTCCGCCAATCCCATCCCATCCCATCCCTACCTATCCCATCCATCCATCCATCCATCCCATCCATCCATCCATCCATCCATCNTCCATCCATCCATCCATCCATCCATCCATCCATCCATCCATCCATCCATCCATCCATCCATCCATCCATCCATCCATCCATCCATCCATCCATCCATCAATCCATCCATCAATCCTTCCATTCATCCCATCTCATCCATCCACCATTTCCCCACGCTCTGTTCCTCTATCTCTTATTTCCTTCCTTCCTTTTTACTTTTATTATTTGCTCACTTCATTTTCATTCTATTGTGTAGAGAGTGGGAAGGCAAGTTATTGTTGACCCAAGAAATCATCGACGAATGGTTAAAAGTACAGGCCACGTGGTTGTACTTGGAGCCGATCTTTAGCAGTCCTGATATCATGGCGCAAATGCCAGAAGAAGGAAGGTATGCTAAAACTTGTTTATCTATAGAATATACATATTTGATTAACCTGCCAGGAGGTCCGGAAAGAGAAAAGCTGTGCCCAAGTTCTTGAGTATACGGGMAAAAATAAATAGGTTTGTTTGGCAAAACCTTAGAAATTTTGTGGCGCATACGTTGGAAATACGATCAACAGTAGTGTTGTGCATCAATTTGTCTTATGTTGTTGTCGGTATTGTCACACCTTTATGGTACAGGGGGAAGCACTATATTGCTTATCAAAAGCCCAAGTCAGTTGTAGAGTGAAAGCTAATAATAGTAAAAACGTATTGCACGAAAAACATTCGCATCATTGCTACAAACTACAATGTAACTTCAAACTTAACGCTGTTGTTGATGGTAAAATTTTAATCCTTCGTTTCCAGGCGCTTCAGTACCGTGGACAAGTATTGGAGAGAAATCATGAAAGTTGCTGTACTGGTGAGTAAAATAAAATATACAGAAATCTCTGGTCTAAAACGACCAATCGCTCCTCAATATCATAAACTGCACGGTTGCTCCGTCAGGTCCTTCAATTACATTGTGTATCTAGTGTAGTGTAGCTTTTGCTACAAAGTCGGATAAGTCGGTCCCCTTTCGTTTGCTTTGCTCTGCATTCCTCACCTTACCTTTCAGTTTCCTTACCTTTCAGTTTCCTTACCTTTCAGTTTCCTTACCTTTCAGTTTCCTAACCTTTCCTTTCATTTCCTATCCCTTCGTTTCAGTTACTTCCTTTTCCTTCCTTTCCTTTCCTTTCCTTACCTTAAATTTTCTCCCTTGTTTTCCGAAGGACAAACACGTACTTTCTGTTATTGGAATTGAGAAGCTACTTGAACGCCTCAAAAAGTCCAACGAGTTATTAGAACTAATCTTGAAGGTAACTATTAGTTTCTTTGAATAACTGATATTTAAAATTGTCAGTTTTTATTGTGAATGAAATGTTTTAACCATACTGTAACCGTAACATATCCATGACTACGCTGTGCAATTTCATTGTTATAGCATACCTCATCATGTACGTACTGTGAGCTATTTTTACTCTGCGTTCCTCACTCATACGAAAACCGCGCTATACGAATCATTAGAGTAGACCTAATATCTTTGTTATTTACTCAAGGGTCTGAACGAATACCTCGAGAAGAAACGACTTTATTTCCCAAGATTCTTCTTCTTGTCGAACGACGAGTTGCTTGAAATCTTGTCAGAGACAAAGGATCCAACCAGGTGAGCTGTTGTCCTTATGACTTACTTTATTAGTGCCCTGCTGTAGAAGACAGTCGATAGAATGCAGTTGAGATTAGGGCTTCAGGTATTAGGCGTTCCGTGCATTACCATCAATGGAGGTTTTGGACCATCACGTGACGCCAGCCATGTTAGATGGCAGCAGCAATACAATCGCTTTACATAGAAATAATTTAATCCCTTAAGAGCAAATGGATTTTATTGTTCTGCCATCCAACCACAGGTAGCCCAAGCTGTATTATGGGCGTGGGCACGTGATAGTGCAAAACCTCTATAAGAAGTGAGGTTCATGTCTTAACAGGATTTTTACTATGACCACGTGAAGTAGTGACACTGTATAGTAACAGTATAAAACAGACGACCAATTACATCACGAGAGATCTCAGACCATCCACCCAGTATTATTACACGTTCTTAAAATACATACAAAATATCCTCACGAATTCATAATTCTGAATATTTTTCCAGAGTTCAACCGCATCTCAAAAAGTGCTTTGAAGGAATTGCTAGATTGACGTTCACCGATGTTCTCGACATCACCCACCTCCAGAGTTCTGAAGGAGAATTCGTGGAACTCAAGGATGTCATCTCGACATCCAAGGCACGTGGCCAGGTAGAAAAATGGCTCCTGGAACTACAAGAAGATATGATTGCCAGTATTAGAAAGGTAAGGCTTGTTTGAGCCTGTTTACAGTATTGACCATGTATTTCTAAGACGAAAACCCTAAGCGTGACACACCTCATACATTGTCAAAGTCATTGGATTGACAATTGAAACTAAAACCTTTAGTTAATCGTCATCGTC